TCAACCTAATCAGCCTCAGACCCCGCAGCTAAACCCTAATGCAGACATCTTCAGTCCTGTTAGAAGTTGCATCCCAGATATGAATGTCAGCAATAGGGGTGATCTAGTACAAAGGAAGCCACAGGAATTTGATAGGAAGGCACTGTGGGAAGCATATAGAGCACAATTTGAGCTCGTGGCAGAGATGAATGGATGGACAGAGGTGCAGAAAGCTGTACATCTGGCAACAAGCTTGAAGGGACAACCACTGGAAATACTTGGACAGATGTCAGCAGACGACAGGCACAACTATAAAGCACTGGTAGATGCTCTAGAACTTAGGTGTGGAACTCAAAATCAGTCTGAGATCTACAGGGCTAGATTTAGGATGAGAGTCTGTACTAAAGGGGAGAGCCTGCAAGATCTGGCACAAGATTTGATAATTATTGCACTCAAGGCCTACCCAACTACATCACCCGATGTCCTCAAGTTGTTGCTGAGGGATCAGTTTGTAGACGCCTTAGACAGTCCACAGCTGAAGATACAAGTAAAGCAAGCACACCCCTCTACTATGCAGGATGCAATGGCCAGAGCTCTTGAATTCGAATCCTACGTTAAATCCAGTGCAGAGATACCAAGGTTGGTACAGTCATCAGGATTCAAGGCCAGAAAAGGTCAGCTTTCAGAGAGGTTTGAAGGACTTTGCTGGCACTGTAACAAACCTGGGCAAAAGAAAGCTCAATGCTGAAAACTTCAACACAGGGAAGATACCATGGCAGGAAAGGCTGCTACCCAGAAAGGTTGTTGGAACTGTGGAGAGCAAGGACATATGAGGAGCCAGTGTAAGAGGAATACTACCAATAAGTCATCCTCGGGAAATCCAGTAGTGGTTGGTGTTGAGGGACCCCCACCAACCCCCATGGTAAAAGGCCGAACAGCTAAGTGTAAAATGGCAAGCACACACAGTGTCTAGTGATAGGAAAGCTGAATGGCCAAAAGTGCAACTTTGTCATAGATTATGCATCTCAGCAAACCCTTGTGAGTATCAAGATGCTAGATCACAAAGGAGTACCAGAGTACTGTGGTGTGACAGGACATTATACAAGGTTGTGGAGACCAGTGTGGGTAGCTATTGAGCTC